CCACCCTCCCACCCTCTGTGCAGGGCACTGCTCCATGTGTTATGCACCTGCCTCACGGCCTGCCCACTGTCCTGGACTTCAGAGTCCTCATGTAGTTGGGTTTTGAATTTTGAATGAAGTTTTTATTTTTAATTGTGTGTGTGTGTGTGTGTGTGTGTGTGTGGCGCGGGTTGGGGTGATGGGGGGTGCTGTAGATGGTTTATGGCCACACAGTAGAACTGGCACTTTAACTTGTTTTATTAAAAATCTCCATAGAATACATTTTTCAAGTATAGGGGAAATACTTGTTTTTTTTACTATAAAGCTAATGGCTTTCGCTTATTTTCACTTAGATCTAAGAACACATTTTGAACACTGCTACTTCCTAACTTTGCTTTTTCTCTATTAAAGAAGCATCTGGAAATCTGTTTTTTTCCTTTTGAATCTTGGAGGTTGGATTTTCTCAACTTCTTTCTTTCTGCACTATGTAGTATCTTTAGTAATTTCAAAACAAAATCAGCGTTCCTTAAACATCTGAATTGTTAGAAGCTCGTGAATGGTCCAGCAGAGACTCTGGAGTAGGCACCAACCCACTTGCTGCTGCCTGGCTTCCTGTCCTCATGTTGGGACTTGTTAGCATGAAAGAACAAAATGAAAAGTACTCTTTGTTGCAATATTTTCTATAAAAATAACACTTTCAGAAGAATTTTTGTCTCTGGCAGTGTAAAACTTGGCACCTAGCAAACAAGAGGACTCACACACATATAAAGACACTGTCAGCCCCCCTGGAGCCACTGAATCCCCCCTAAGTGCAATCCTCCCAGTGTCTGCAGTCCAGTTCATTACTTTTTATTTTGTCCCCTTGGAACTTGTCTATAAAAGGTTTTGTTTTCTTTTTCTTTTTTAACCTGATCATCAGGTCTTGTGGCATATATGGGTGTGTAGTTTGAGCTGAGTTTTTTATGTATTGTTGGATTCTTGTCCTGAAAGTGCTGTAAGATATTGGAGGGGGGTACGTTTCCCTTGGGAAATTTATCTCACTGCTCTGTCTGTGCTTGTTTGACAGCTGTTCCTTTACTTCTAACTTTATTACTAATTCAAAGAGTTATAAAGCCATATGTGAGCAGCTGTTCACAGTTTCATTAGGACAGAATAGGAAAGCAAGGACCTAACTATTATCAGGAGTGATTTTGGTTAGATTGTAGAAATAATTTTCTGGCAGTTATGATATATATAGTGAAACTCAGTAAAAGTAGAGAGTTGTAGAATTTAAGAAAAAAACTCATAAGACCATAAAATAGTATTTGTTGAAAGGTGAGAGGAGTTGAAAAATGAAATACTAACCGAAGATGGGATAGTGAACCAACTAATTTTTGAATTCCTGTTCTAGTTCTAGGATTTTATGATTTCATGCTGGGATTTATTCTCTTACAGACTAACTTTTCCCATGACTTTCTGTGCTTTAAGACTTTTGTATGCAATTGTAAGCTCTTGAAGCTGATTTATACTCATTTTTGAGTTGATATCTTAGCTATAGAATGATATCATTTATTTGGCAGCCAGGTGCTGAATTAAAATTTAAAACTTGTTTGCCTTTAGTTACAGAAATGTAGTAATCAGACCAAAGGAAAAACAATAGAAAAATGGAATTAAATTTTGCTCATGGAACTACAGATGTGATGGCTTGATTTTTATTTTTTGTCACTGGTCCTTCAGAATACAACTATTATAATCGTGTTTAAGACCTTTAAATATTTTTATAAATATACATTATGATTTCATTGAACACACACACACACACACACACACGCATGTGCATGGGTGTATTTGAAAAGCCAGAAGGTACTAACCACCAAAATATTAACAATGGTTACTTTTAGGTGTTGAGAAAACAGATAATTCTTCTATTGTTCTTTATAATTTGTTATAGGCTGTATTTATCAGTTATCATATGAAGTGGGAATTGCTATTATTATTTTCATTCTAACACCTTGTCTTACATATATGCAACACTTTCCAGATCTCTGTCCTCACCATCTCACATATTTGAGAACTGTAAAAGTATTTTATAGTTTTTAGTAGTTTTTGTAAAATTTGTTTGAAGATACTTTAAGTCTTTAGACCAGCAGTTCTCAGCCTGTGGGTCTCGACCCCTTTGGGGGTCAAACGACCCTTTCACAGGGGTCGCCTAAGACATAATAGTAGCAAAATTACAGTTATGAAGTAGCAATGAAAATAATTTTATGGTTGGGGGTCACCACAACATGAGGAACTGTATTAAAGGGTTGCGGCATTAGGAAGGTTGAGAACCACTGCTTTAGACAAAGACTGTGTCTTTTAGGATACTTTTCTTATTTCTATTTAGATTACAAAATTTTAAGAAAATTTTCTCTCTCATCTTTGTGCCCTTATAGATCCTAAGACAAGTCCAGCACACAAAAAACAATTTCTTGAAGTTTATTTAATTTATTTTATTCGTGAATTTCCAACTACCGTGCAATAATTGGAAACAAATTCATTAATTTCCAAACACGTTCTGTTTTTTTTTTTTATTTTTGAAGGTAACTCCTCAATTATCCAGTTGCCCAAATTCTGAGTCCTGGCTGTTACCCTTGATTCCATTTCCTTTTTTACCACCTCTCCAATTCTAATTAATTATTGTTAAAATGGATAAAGTGGTTGCAATAACAAACTGGCCTTGTGCATCAAGAGACCTTAACACGTCCACGCCTTTTAATCTAAAAATTCTTCTTAAAATAAACTCCAGGAAAGTAATTTAGAAAAAAATTAACTGATCTCAGGATTATGGTTAGTGATACGGCATTCTCCTGGTTCTGTGGACAAAAAACAAAAACAATTAAGAAACCATGTAGAGTCATTTGGGAAAAGTGATCTTTTCATAATACTAATAAACAAACAAAAGCCGTCTGTTTTTGGGTTTACAGAATATTTTCTGACTTTTCTTCCTCTTTATTTCCCCTTGTCTCTTAAATGTAGGTGGTGCCCAACACCCACATCTCTGCTCATGGGTGGCAGTTTTAATGGCTCTCATGTTGTCTGTATGGAGATATTTCTGAAATCTAACATTCCGGTCCCATCCTCTTTGCAGAGCTCCATTTGTGATGCTTACATTCCAACTGCTCAGTTTTCATCTTTTGAATATCCTGTCCTTCATTTTAACAGTGTAAAAACTGCTATCTTGTTCATTTTTCCTCCTGAAGATCATTTTTCTGTGGTCCACATTCAATCAGTCTGTCTTGATATCTTTTTCTTTAGATTCTCCCTTTATCACTCCACCCTCAGAACACTGCTATAGACCTGCAGTGTCTTCTGGTGTGTATTCATCATCTGTGTGTGGTCACCCTAATTCAAGCCTCTTTTTTTGTTTTTAAGGATGTTTGTGATTAAGTCTCCCTGCACTCTCCTCTAATGAATCTTGTCAGAGAATCTTCTTGACCCACAGGTCAGACCACATCGCTTTCTGGATTAAAACCTTCAGACTCCTTATGTGAATAAAGAGATTTCTGAACTTCATCTTAGTCTTTAGGGTCCTCTGCTATTGTATGGCCTCAACTTAACTTTTCTCATTTTACTTCCCTCCCTCAAGTATTTTTTTCCTCTTATCTTAGTCACACTTTCTTCTGAGTCTTGCATCATTTTTTTGGCCTCCACCTGACCATTTCCCTATTTTCACATTTCCAGATCTCATCCATGTGTCAGGAGTTGGATTTCAGATTTGCCTTCTGGCTGGAAGGAATCTTTTCTTCCTGGGAACTCCCAAAGGCCTTTTCTGTTTCTTTGTTACTGTGACTAGGAACCCTTTCTACTGTACTATGGTTATTTATGTGCACGATACTGGTAGTTGTTAAGCATTTTAAAGTCTTTATTCATGTTTTATTTTTCTGTTTCCTAATTATCTGCTATGCAGTTCTTAATGTATATTAAGTAAGTAGTGTGTAAAGAGCCATCTTGTTTGGCAGGTATTTTGTAGTTGAGAATGGGGATCAAAATTTTGAGGATATTTCATTAATATGACAAAGACCGAAAAGATTATATGTTCCATAAGGACCTACAGAAATATATTTGCAAGTATTTGCTAAAAAAAGAAATATAAGACATTAGATATATAGAAGAGATACAAACCATTTTCAGACAGATGAAACCTAATTTTTAAAGCCATCTAGAATAGAAGATATACTTAACAGTATATTCAATCATTTAAACAGTTACTTATATAAGACTAATAATAAAAATAATAATAATAATACTTAAGCCCTGGCCGGTTTGTTTCAGTGGTTAGAGCGTCATCCCTCAGACCAGAGAGTCCTGGGTTTGGTTCCCACTAAGGGCACGTACCTTGGTTGCAGTTTGTCCCCGGCCCCGGTTGGGGTTGTGTGGGTGGCAACCACTCGATGTGTCTCTCTTGCATCGATGTTTCTCTCTCTCTCTTCCTGCCCCTCTCTCCCACTCTATCTGAAGATAAATGTAAAAATGTCCTCGGGTGAGGATTAAAAAATAATAATTTAAACAGTTACTTATATAAGACTTGCAAGCAGAAACATTTTGTTTTTTTTTTTGTAATATTTCTATAATATGTAGATTACATTTTATGTTCTCCTAATTAGGCTTCATATTGTTGGAATTTGTTTTTAGGATCTTCCTATTTTTTAAATGGTCTCTTCTCTCTCTTGCACTTCTTTTGTTGATTTTTTTTTTTTTTTTAATCCTCACCCAAGGACATTTTTCCATTTTTTGTTCAGGTAGAGTGGGAGGGAGAGAGAGGAACAGAGAGAGAGAGAGAAACACTGATGTGAAAGGAACACATCGAGTGGCTGCCACCCGCACAACCGACCAGGGCCGGGGACAAACTGCAACCGAGGTACACACCCTTAGCGGGAACCGAACCCGGGTCTCTCTGGACGCTCTAACCGCTGAGCCAAACCGGCCAGGGCGATTTTTTTTTTTTTAAGTTCTCTGTTTGTCCTGGCAAATTTATGTTTAGAAAATGTTCTGTTTTGCAGGTATCCTGGTCAGATATAGGAGGACTGGAAAATATCAAACTGAAATTGAAACAAGCTGTGGAATGGCCCTTGAAACATCCAGAGTCTTTCACCCGAATGGGTGTTCAGCCTCCTAAAGGAGTTCTTTTGTATGGGCCCCCTGGATGCTCTAAAACGATGATTGCAAAGGCTTTGGCCAATGAAAGTGGACTGAATTTCCTCGCCATAAAGGTATGGTGTTACATTTTTAAATTGCTACTCTGTTCCAGCCCCACTAGCACCCTCTGACTCCGGCGCTTCAGAGAACATGAGAAGGCAACATAAGGAAGTAGTTGGTTTTCATTTGAGGTTGTTGGCAATGTAGTACAGGGAGATGAGAGATAAGTAAATTAGTGTGTGATCAGCAAATCAGGGTGGACAGTAGAATACTGCTTTATTTAGTTTTTTGATTCTCAATATTTCTTACACTCATGTATGATAGAAACCATTGTTCTTTAGTTTTTACATTTTTAAATTGTACTGATCTTTTGCTTATCCAAGACGTAATTATAAGTAAATATGATTGTGACTTTATATTTATATACATAGAATTTTCAAAGAAATCAGATACTTTATATGGTAAAACTAAATTTCTTTAAACAATTTGTGCAGTCAGAATATATGTATATTGTTTATACTCAAGCACACACACACACATTTTATTTGTTCACTGCCCTGCCCTATTACTTGGGAAAGATAATCCTATTTGATATGTAGTTTTACATTTTCTACTCTTTACTGTCATCTCCATTTTTCTGTGCTTACTTTGTCATATTATGTATGATAAACTTTGAATTTTTTCTGTCTACCAGAAATCTGAACCTTATTTTATACAAGGACTGAGCTCACAGGCATTTGCACTTGCACCTCAAGGAAGAACACGCGATTTTCTTACAGGGCAGCACTTCCCTCCCTCACGGCCCAGGACCATAGTTCCAGATGCGGCCAGGACTACTCTCTAGACTGTCCTAGGATTGCTCAAAAATATCTGTATTACTATTTTTGAATATGAAATTTTTTATAACTTTATAGTTTCACTTTTGTTTTTTCTCAATGTGAGAAAATGATTCAAAAGATTCTTTGAAAGGTTTATCTTGGACACTGTTCATGTAAAATAATCAACCATATGTTCAGTTTTTTGTTGTTGTTGTTTTTCAGTATTGATTGATTAACTGATTTGAGAGAGAGAGAGACATTGATTTTGTTGTTCTACTTATTCATGCATTCATTAGTTGATTCTTGTGCCCTGACCAGGGGTCAAACCCATAACCTTGGTGTATTGGGATGCCATCCTAACCAACTGAGCCAGCCAGCCAGGTGCGGTCCGCTTTTTAATTAAGTTTTTATTTCTTTTAGGTCACACACATACGAAAACTAAGTGATGTTAAAATTTTTTCTTAATAATTTGAGTTCTTGCTTGCTTAGGGATGATCACATTCTACTTACTAATTTTTATTTAATGTGGATTTTTATTCAGTGTAGAATTTAGTGTAGTTTCACAATATTACTTTTGAATTTGGGTGAAGGATATATTTAATGAACAATAGGTATTCTTTTTACCATTTTTTCAACTTTCCTATAATACCTTAAAAGTTTTTTTTAAAGTAAAAGCCGGAACATGAAAAACTAATTTGCTTTTCCTTGCATTTTCATTGGTCCTTTCATCTTGGTCTGATTTTGTGAAAAGAGTTCAAGTAGCTTTGTCATACAGCTTACGTATGAGGAGATGAAGTCCAAAAAGTTGGGAATTCATATTGTATTATTTCTAGTTTTATCTTTCTATGAGTAAAAAGTTGCCTTTTGGTTCCAACATATATATTTGTTTTCTCAAGGTTTTCAGTGTTATAATTAAGTTTGAGCTTTTTGAAATAACAAGTCTTACACGTTTTAACAGTGATCAGAAAAAAGTGGTTAGACAGGGATTTTCTAGCCAGTTGGGAAACGCAAGTATTTTATATACATTGAAAGGAGAAACCCTCTGACCCTTTTTGCAGTAGTAATTACCTTTCATTCCCATGTGAAAGAATTGAAAGACTTTAAAGATTTCTTTCTTCGAGTTTATGAAAGAACCCTTTAGGTTCCTCTGTGCATCTTTTCTCAGCAGTGATTAAAAGATATACACTCTACTCAGAGTTAAGACTTCACCTTGGCCAATTGTGTGGGCTCTTAACATTCTTTGGCATCTGTACGTGTTTTTGTGCAGACTGTAGCACTTGACATATGCTTAAGTTTAGTTTGTCATCTGGGTCAATTACGTCAAAATATTTTCCAGCTGAAATTTCCTCTCTGCTCCTCTTGCTTTTGTCTGGAGTGCTACAATAGATTAATTACTCTGGTATAACTGGGCTGCTTGACTTAATGAACAACTGTAACTGATTCTGGAAGAAGGGTGGTTGGTCAGGCCTCTGACACGGATTTTTAGCAAGTCCTTTATTAGCTGTATTGGTGAGTACAAGAATGTAACGAGCTTAGTACGTCCTTGACTTTTGGGGGAGATTTTCTTCTAATACTTGTTTCAAAGAGGAATTTTACAAAATACATACTATGTTCAGGAAAATCTGTATTTTATTCAAAGCAGCGAACAATTTAAAGTAATTGATTTTCTTTATTTAACCAGATCCATTATCATTCTGTCATCAAAGGTACAAGATAATGTGAACTTGGTAAATTCCAAATTCATTTTTAAGCTTTTGTTTGTAGGCTAGTCTATAAATCAGAGAGCTTCCATTTTGCAGACATTGCATGGAAAACTGCATAGATACCTCTTTTGTATCCTGAAAGCTTTAAGATTGGTTCCTAGGGTTACAAATAAGGACATGATGCTTAAGAAGATGAAGTGACCTTTCCAAGGCCAAAGTGGTGGTAATGGAACTAAAATGTGATCTCAGGACTTTCTGATTCTAGAGCCTGAGCTCTGAACCCACCGTATTATAGGATCTTTTGTTTGTTGTTGTTGTCTTAATAAAACTAGTTTCCAATAGGTTTTTTTTATTCTTATTAATGACACCAACTTACTGGAGAAGGTGGTTCAGGCAGTTTCCATAGGGCAGCTTCAAAAAAGTGGGAAGATGGATGTTTCTGGGACCCAATTTAAAAATAATTTTGTTTCTCTAGGACAAAGGAAACTGAGAAAAATAGCATGGCTTTGGAGGGGGAGTGGGTTGAGTTAATAAGAAAGGTACTGCCAAAGAAACAGGAACCTGATGGATTAAATAGAAGTACATGGAAAACACTAGTGGTTGAACAAAGCGGAGCTTGAAATTAACCTATTCGTATATGATCTGTGCTTTTGAGACTGAGTGTGTTGCAATGAAAAGCACTAAGCTGGGGTTCAGATGGCTGTGGTTTGATTCCTAGCCCTAGCACTAAATTTTAGCTCTGTAACTTTAATCAGGTTCTCAAAGTCTCAGTTTTTTCATCTAGATAGCCTTTTTTGAGAGGATTGTATTAAAAAGGTAGGTGAAAAAGTTTTGGAGGATATAACAACTCCACTCCTTAAGTGTGGGCTACAAATAGTTATGACTTCCTTCCAATCAGAGTTCGGTATGGAAACGGGTGGGGAAGAGCTGCTCTCCAGAGGAGAAGCCTGGAAAATACCACCTCCGCCAGGTGACCAAGGTCAACATCTTCAGTGAGTAGTCATGTTGATAGTATGTGCCTTATGTACTGCGAGGAGGATGGTGTTTCACTTCTTTGGTCTTCTTCCCGAGCACTCATAAACTCATAGTTTGTGTCTAGCCATAAAAGATCAGGCAAGTCCAAATTGAAGGACAGTGTATAAATACCTCACCAGTCCTCCTCCAACTGTCAAGGCCATCAAAACAAGGAAAGTCTGAGAAATCACAGCCAAGAGGAGCCCAGGGAAACGTGACAATTAAATATAATATTAGGATTTTCTGGAAGAGATCCTGGGGCAGAAAAAGGACATTATAAACTCTAAGGAAATCTGAATAAACTGTGGAGTTTAGTTAATAATAATGCATCCATATTGGTTTATTAATTGTAAGAGATGTACCATACTAATAAGTGATATTAATAATGGGAAAACTTAGTGTGTGGTAGGAAGTAGGGGTGAGCATATGGGAATTCTTCTGTAAGTCTTAAACTTGACCCCTCCCGTCCCAAAAAGTATGTTAATTAAATAAAAGTTTTAAAGTCAGTATCACAGATCTGGGTATGTTGTAGACATTCAGTGAGTGTAACTGAAGTTAAAGGCCCATGCACAGTGGTGCCCTGCGCCATGCAGGCTGAATGGGATGCAGGGGAGGAGAGCCATGGAGCGACTGTCCATTCCTCGGGTGAGGACATTGGAGGAGACCTTTTCATTTCTGTGTCCCGTTTGTGGCGATAGTGGAAAGTTCCTGAGAAAAGCCCTGGGAGGAAGTTGGCTGGGGAACCTCGGCTTGGGCGCCCTGCGCTCGCCTGTTTCACTGCTGTTCTCATTTGAAGCCTATAAAGGTGTGTGTTGGTTCTGGCCCCAGACCCAGACCCCAATATTCTAAAGAATACTTTCTTTTAGAGTTTTGATTATTTTTTCTTTCACCTTGGTACAGCTTCTAATTTAGTCTCACCAGGAACCATGTTCAGTTTCCTACCTTTTGTGGACCTTAACTCTTTCTTCTCCTCTTATAGTTTTGTTGCCATTTGGGTTCATCTACAGTCTGAGACCTTTTGAGTTTCTATTTAATTTCCTTAAGGGATTTTCTTTTTTTAACTTTAAAAATTCCCTCGACTTCTCCCAATAATGTTGTCTAATGTGCCCCATACACTTAAATTAGCAGTTATTAGCATTGATACTAAATAAAGACATACACTTAGTTTTCTCACTGTTTGAATGGCTGTTAGGGAATAGTGACGTATTATTCTGCATAGGTAGAATAGTTAATGTGCCATTGTCAGTATCACAGAGTTCTGTAGAAATTAGATTGTATTCACTTACATTTAGCATTATTTGTACAGTGTATAAGCTAAATTAGAGACATCAATGTTAAAACTGTGTATGTTAATACATTTTTTTGAGTTGGGCTATATCACTTGATAAAACTGCTATATGAAAAAGATGTCTTGATACGAAAATATTCTATAACATTTGACTGAAAGCAAAACATGGCAACAACATGAACTATAATGACAAAACCTTTAGCAGTTGGAATCTAAAAAGACCTAGAGAGAGATTTAGAAAGAGAAGGATG